AATGACAATAGAGAACAACAGTATTGGTTTCAAATCATGTCGGAACTGATGCTTTCAAACCGAATTCACTTTCAATGGACTTTGGACATTTTTTATTTCTATATATACTCTTTTAAAAGAAACACCACTAGTATATCCAGACAGGAACATGTTGATTTGCAAAAATTAAGAAAAACATCAACTCATTTTCATTTGGAAAAAATAATATCAACAAATTTAAAAGTTGAATCAACTTTTTTTCGATACCAACAAGTAGGTTGTATTTGATATGGGATTAAAGTAGCACTTACTTCCTTTAATGTGTTTAACATAATTTATATGTTTATCTATGCATAATACCTAAAATAGAATAATACATTAAATTCATAAATAAATTTTTTTCTAAAAAAAAACTATAGATAAAGTTAACTTTGTTTTTTCTTTAACTATGGACAAATCAACTTTTATTTTTATCACTTATTTTGTCTAAAGAAGTTTCCTCTATCCTACTTCAAACCAACAAACTGGTTACCTCTTTATGAATCAACTTTTACGTTATAGCTTCTTCAGTCTAATCCCATTTCAAATTAACAAACTGGTGACCTCTTATCCTACTTCAAATTGAAATTGGTGACTTTCACTTCTGATCATACAAATACTAGATTAATTATGATTGTTTTAGGCAAAGAAACTGTCAGTACCAGTTAGCTCAAATTGCGAGCCTCGACATGTTGAGTATGAAAGACTTCGAGACGAGTGTGATTTGAGGCTTGTTATATTCTAGAGAATTACAAGTTGTTGATGCAAATGAGGATTCAGATTGGCTTCGGTATGGATGAAGAAAGTCACTTGTTTTAAAAAGTTATTAAGATTTGTTTATGTCAATTTAAGTCAATATATATATATTTTTCTAACGTACCATTTTTATTATTAAAATTATTTGCATTTAAAATGGAAATTGTAGGTTTGTATATGTATTAGGTGTAAATATAAACATCCAATTAATCGTCCTCAAAAAAAATAAAAGTAAACCAAAAAATTTAACAAATTTAAGCAAAGAAGAAAAAAAGCACAACGTTTTGCACTCGGATAATTTTTATTAAAATATTTATTATTATTATTATTATTCCAATACCATCAGTTGGGCCAACGGGAGAAGCTCATTTAGCCCATTGGGTCTAATTGTAAAAATATATGAATCTCAGTCCAGGCCTATCTATAAATGAGACTGGGCTCCTCTCGATTCTCCATCTCCTCCTTACACGTGCTACAGGTGCTTGTCTCTGATGGAAAAATGGTGATGGTCCCAACTCCTGATGGATTGCGGAAGATCGTTTTACAATAATACACCCGGGAATAGTCTAAAATATCTCATTAACTCATTCTGAATCCCAATATTACGCTCGTAATGGCAGTAAAATTAAATAGTAAATAAATCTTGGTTTAAACACTAAAGTTTTTTAAATTATTTAAAAAATTTAAATATATTTTTATTGTTTTATTATTTCATCAATTAATATCATATATTTTATTTTATATCAAATCAATTAATTATTATTAATTAAACATAATTGAATTAGTGATTAATCAAAACATAATTAAGTTATCATGAATTTCACTATTTATTATAATATATTAACCGGATAACTTGATATAAAATAAGTAATATTTTGATTGAAGATAAATATTAAATATTTATCATGAAAATTATTTAATTTAAAATAAAAATATAAAAATTTGAAAGGAAATTTTTTTTTCTTAATAGTTGAAGGTTTATTTAGTTACTTTGTGGTAAATAAAGGGTTGTCCTTTGATTAATAAAATAAAGCCCGGTGCCCAAATTCTTCAGTTTTCTACTCTTCTTACTAGGTGACTGAGAGTGATTATATTAAAGAAACAAAGAAAAAAAAGGAAAAATTGGGATTTCTTTGTTCTGTGTTTGTAATTCAAATGGAAAGTAATTTAAAGAGTTATTGTTAATAATTAGGGTAAAATATTAACAAACGAAAAGATGCGTCGGGAGATCTCGATTTTGGTACAGCCTCGATGCCTTCTGCTCTTCATCGTCCTCTCAATTTTCGTCATTTTCGCTTTATCCGGCACGAAACGGGTACGCTTCTTCTTTTCTAAATGCCCAATTCCTGGGCATGTGTAGATACGTAGTCTTTGGATCTGAATTTGGATTATTTTATTCATTACTAGCATTTTTTACGGTAAAACAGATTTGGGTTTTCAATATACTCCAGTGGGATTGATGGGTTCCGTCTCATTTTGGTTTTTTGATCTGTTTATTTTGTTGGATATGATTCAAATTCAGTGATTTTTTTGGATATATTTCAGAATTGGGTGGTTATGGTAAAAGCTTGTTTCTGAGATATGCTGTTCATGAAAGATGCAATGAAGATATTTTGAAGTGTCCTTTCACAACCTGAGCATTTACTATTTTATAAGTTTCTAGTAAAATGGTTTTATTCGGGGTTCTGAATGTGCTTTGTTGAGACAAACATGAGATTGCAGTTTCCTCGATGTTGTTTATCTGATTCTGCTCATTCTGTTAATTTGGATGGGTTAAGTCAACAATTTTTAGTAGTAATTGACCCTTTAATTGTTTCTCAGGAGGAAGAGAATACTGTAGAAGAGGAGTATGAAATCACCCACAGAGTCTACTTGGATGTTGATATTGATGGCCAGCGCGTAGGTACAACTTCTTTTTCCCACATGATCAGTGATGAGACTTGTTTTTTTTAGCTTAAAAGTGCTACAATTTGTGCTCTGCAGGTAGAATCGTCATTGGATTGTACGGTGAAGTTGTGCCAAAAACTGTTGGTATGTTTTGATCATCTGTCTCAATAGATTTAGTTGCTTAGAAACTTAATAGTTTCTTGAAACTGTTGGCTCATTAGCCAAGCACAAGCTACTTTGAGCCTTGTCATATGTCATGTGTGAGAAAAGCTTACCTTTTAAGCTGATTTAGATTAATTAGTTTTCTTTCTTCAATTATTTCCTATTTTAACTATATTTTAACTTGTTCCATTAATTGTTGAATGGCTGGCTAATGCTATCAGTTGTTGTTTGCAGAAAATTTCAGGGCTTTGTGTACAGGTACTTCAGTCTTAGCTTCTTGTTAGTTTTGTACCTACCAGTACTATTGATAGCCAGTTTAAAATTTCATGGTAAAATAAGCGTAAAGATTTTGCTTCCCATCTGCAGGAGAGAAAGGCAAGGGTGCCAGTGGGAAAGCCCTTCATTATAAGGGAATACCATTCCATCGTATAATATCTGGATTTGTGATTCAAGGTGGTGATATAGTTCATCGTGATGGAAGGGGAAGTGAGTCTATTTATGGTGGCATCTTTCCTGATGAGAACTTTAGGATAAAACATTCACAAGCAGGTATTCTTATATGTATTATGTAACTGTCTGTCTTATTTTAATTAGTTATGATCTATGGACACAAATGCTTTCTGAACTTAAAAGCTTTAATGTTTTCTTTGTTGTCAAGTTTCTTCCTTTTTATTGCCTATTTTTCTTCAAATGTTCAGTTGTTTCTGTCTTTAATATTTTATTGCAGGTGTAGTTTCCATGGCTAATACAGGATCTGATTCCAATGGCTCTCAGTTTTTCATCACCACTGTCAAAGCCAGCTGGTAAGCTATATGGTAATGGCATGTTGAAATTTAGGTGGAGGGATGAAGAATCTTTCTGTAAGACAACAAAAAAATGTTGGTTTTAGAGACCTAATTCTTAGACTATTTTCAACCTCCTGGATATGTCATGCTTTTTCTATGTTTTTAATCATCCAACAAAGCTAGCTTTCTCGATACTAATGTAAATATGTTTTTTTAATCCATGCCCATCATCTGGACAATTAATGTGAAATATGTTGCCTGTAAGAGATTAGTCACCATGTTTCCGTGTCTGTATATCCGGTGATAATGGGAGATAAAACATCGCAAATTCCTCATTATGCAAATAAGTTGTTGATCAAAATTTCAATCATTTTACGTTCTTTTTCAGGTTGGATGGAGAACATGTTGTTTTTGGTAAGGTTATTCAAGGCATGGACATTGTGTATATGATCGAAGGTGGAGCTGGAACTTACAGCGGGAAACCTAGAAAGAAGGTCATAATTGCTGACTCTGGAGAGATACCAAAGAGCAAATGGGATGAGGAAAATTGAAGCTCCTGGTTAATATTAACAACAGAAAGTTTTGTCTTTTGACTCTGCTAATTTTGTTCTCTATATAATTGATTTATACTTTGCTCCCCTAGTATCATTGCCGCCATAAATTACTGGCACGAATTAGATCAATGAGTCACAGGCTTCACTTTGAAAATATTGTAGCTTGCCCCTTTCTTGCTATTCCTTCAGCTATCATATTTGGCTACTGTTATTAACACTAACAATTTTTTAAGTAATCCCAAGGAATGTATTCCCTTCTAATTGTGCTTGTCCTTCTTGGGTTTTATTTAGTTGATATTTTATATATTATTTATTTTCAACTATAATTTTCATGCTTGTTAATGTGTCAAAAAATCATTTTCCAAACTCATCATCATTCATTAATATTGACAAATCAATCTCAATACAATAAAAAGGGCCTTTAAATTCAGTATTTGGAGTGATAAATGAGCATTTGCATAATATCAAGTTTCTCTGTTATCAAACTTATCCTAAACTCTGAAAACAGTAAAGCAGAAATCATCATACATGATCACAGACCAATTATGTCGCCGACTTTTCTTTTTTTTTTTTTGAGAAATTTAAACAATTCCCAGGTGGCATTCCTATCTTTACACCCAGCTTCTTCTCCAGCTCTCTCAGTTTGGTTTAGCTGAACAAGCAGTCAAACCAAGCAAAAAAACACTCAAACAAAAAAATTAAAAAATTATATCCAAAAAAGTAAAACAAACAAAAACAAAAGCCCTGAAAGTCTCTCGATCAAATCAGAATTCTCTGTCCACAGACATTTCTTTGATTCTTTCTCCATCGCTCCTTCTCTCTTTGAGTTGTTGCTGCAATGGGCAGCACAGAAGAAGAAAACAACACCTCCAAATCCGTATCTCCTTATGACACCGCTTTACCAACCACTCCTCTCCTCTCCAAACCCACGACCAGCTCCACCTACTCATCTCCTCCAATCGAAGAACCAGCTCAACCCGACCCATCTGAGCCCGACCCCACCCAATTCCTCCAGATCTCTTTCAATTACGGACCCAGACCTTTCAAAGACCTTCCTTTTCTCATCCTCTTCTTTCTCTTAGTCGTCTGCACGTTCGCTTTTGGTATTTTCTCAATCTTCCATCGGAACACCAATTACTCCAACGTTTCGAGTTTCACCTACGATTCTAATTCCACTTCCTGTGTTCAAGACTCTTCCTTTTTATCAAATTCTAATTGGGTTTTTGAAATTTCTGTTTTTTCGTTGTCAAGTTCGAGTCTTTGGACAAATTTAGTATGGACCCTTGTTATAACTTTGATTTTAAGTGTACCAATTTGTTTTCTTTTGCTTTTATTACTCAAACATTACACAAAGCAGATCGTTTATGCCTTGCTTCCTTTCTTTATAATCATGCCAATTTTCTTCGATGTTTATTGGTTCGTTGCGTGTACTTTGACTTCTTCTTGTAGTGATGCTTTCCCTTTGGTTTATAGAATTTTGGTGCTTGTTTTTGTTCTTTTAGTAGTTGGGATTATTGTTTGGATCATTGTGGCTAATTGGCATCGAATCGAGTTGACTGTGAGGATTATTGGGGTTGCTTCTGATGCGCTTTCGAGGAATTTAGGATTGTTTTTGGTTATACTGTTGTTGACAGTAGGATTGGCGATCTATTATGCGCCAATTGTTGTGTTCTTGGTGTTTGCTAGATTTAATGGGAAAATTGTGGCTAAAGAATCGAATGGGGAGTATACTTGTGTTTGGAAACAAGATAGCTGGGTGCCTGCTTATTACACATTGGCGATTTTGACGATGTTGTGGTCTTTGACTGCGATGGTGGAAGCTCAGGTTTATGTGATCAGTGGCACTATTGCACAGTGGTACTTCTCCAAGGATGATTCCAAACCTAAGCGGAGTATAAGAAGTTCTTTGAGGTGACTTCCTACTGTTTTCAGTTTTTCTTCATAACAATCTATGCATTTTAGTGTACTAATATAGACAGTTTTCTACTTTTGGGTGATGGTAGCTGAAACTAAGCTTGAGTTGGATTTTATTTGTGATTCTGGTTGGCTCTGTTGGAGGCATTCTTAACGTATGAACACTAGATTGTATTGATTCATTATCAAAGATTATGGTCTTGGTGATCAGCTTAGTGTGATAGTAATGGTACATAGTTGATAACATAGATTTAGATATGGTTTTTAGCTGCATTGATGTATTCTAGTAAAGTATTTGTTCTGGAGTATTGAAGATGACAACCCTGGCAATTTGCTGTGGTTTGGATTATCAATTTAACTCAGCATGGTTTTTGTAGTTACTAGCATGGACAGAAGAGTGTCTAACAATATGTAGGAGAGCATGCTCCTCCACCAGTGTTTCTTTTTTGTGTTTTATGCTGACCAACTTTCCTTGGTATATTATATTCGTTTAGTTCCATTGTGCGTCCCTTTATCCTGTTAGATTGGCATGAAAAAAGGGCAATGTCTCCAGTTTATGCACCCAACTTGCCGTGTCAGAAGGCAGCATGTTAACTTCTTTTATATAATATTTAAATTGCTGTCTATTAGGGTTTTTTTGGTTGAGATTAGGAAACATATTAGCTTCTTGTCTACTAGACAGCATGCTAACTTCTTGAGTCATATCCTCACCTGGTTTAACAAGTATTATATATTGATAAGATGTTTTCTGAAGGATAATTTGATGAAATGTCTACGATAGTGAAAGCCAAACTAGACATCCTCTTAAGGCATCACTAATGTATGTTGGTTTTTAAATAGTTAGCTTTCTGGCTAGAAAACTGTTAGTGGTTATAACATGTTAATCCTTTAATCTTTTGGTTCTAAACATTTGCAGAAATGCATTTGGTCCTTCTTCTGGCACTGTCTGTCTATCTGGACTACTTATTTGTGCCGTTCGACTGGTGCGTGCCGCTGTTGATAGTGCGAGACAAGAAGATGTTCCTGGGATAGTCAACCTTGTCCTGCGGTGTTGTGTTAATGCCCTACTGTCTGCAATAGACTTTCTTAACAAGTTCACCATCAACTTTGCAGCAATAACTGGTGAGGCTTACTGCACATCTGCAAGGATGACGTATGAGCTTCTAAGGCGAAACCTACTCTCTCATGTTTTTGTGGAGACTGTATCAACTCGTTTGTTAGCAGGAGTTATTTTTGTCCTCTCAGCAGTTTACGCCATTGTGGTGAGTCTCTCATCACTAAATAGAATGATTTGCTGGGCTTGTTATTCTTTTCTTTCTTCTTATATTTATATTACCTGACATTGAATATGTATGTGCAGGTATGTGCTATCTTAAAGGGCGTTAGCGATCTAGGGGTTAATGCATACATCGTTGCTGTTCTTGCATGGGTGCTGCTAATCATAGTGCTGGGTTTCTTTGTCCATGTGTTGGACAATGTAATCGACACTGTTTACATCTGCTATGCAATTGATAGAGATAGAGGAGAAGTCTACAAGCAGGAGGTTCATGAGGTCTATGTTCATTTACCAATCAGTAGGAACAGTAGATCATCCTTCCCTACTAGGACTCTTGGTGTATAGAGACATCCCTGTAACACAAAAATAATGTCGTTGTTGTTGATTTGTCATATGATATCTGTACGAGGTTGTTACTCCTGCCTATTGGCAAATTGTGCATACCATCAGATTCAATCGTTGTATTGTACACTATTTGAGGCTTGTTCAATAAAGAGCTCAATTGTTTTCAGTAATGGGGAAAACCCCTTTTATTATTTACTTATATTTTCACTCCACTCAACTTATTAGGTAAGGATCCTATGTTCAGGAGGTTGGATTTGCCTTTGCTAGCAAATGATGCAAGCAAGAGTTGGCTTGTACTAAAATTCGCTGCTAAGGGCCTGAAATAAAGAATGATTTAAATTTAAGAGATGATTTAATGTAGTATGTTGATGTAATGTTATGGTTTTTTTTTTAATTTTTATGTTAATATTAGGTGAATATAAAAGTGATAAATGATATTTTATTAATGATAATTAAATAAACGTTAATTATAATAATTTATTTGATTAAAAAATATAAAAATTTAATTAAAAATAATAAAAATATGATTACGAAAATTTAGCAATTGAAAATAAGAAGTGAAGGAGGGGCATATTGGGCAAAGCAAAAAGTTAAAAGCCCGGTATTTAAATCTCCCTGGATGAAGAGCAAAAACCGACAAGACAAAGTAAACATTTGATTTCTACTAGATTTCTTTTCTTCGCTTCCAAGCCTACTCTCTCTTAGCATTTGCAGCCATGGTTCTCGAGGTAAGCAATGCGAAAGATTCCTCCTTAATCTCCTTCTTCAATCATCATTTCCTTTACTCTTTTTCTTCATTTTGTTTTCCAAATTAGGGTTTTTTGGATTTAAATTTTAATCAAATCGTTGTTTTTTTGTTTGAATCAAACAATCAGGCGACTATGATATGCATTGATAACTCGGAATGGATGCGAAACGGCGATTATTCGCCCTCTCGATTTCAAGCTCAATCTGACGCCGTCAGTCTTATCTGTGGAGCTAAAACCCAGGTCCTTACTGCTTTACCTTTCGCTATTCGGTTAATCTTGTTTATTTATGAATTTAGTTACGCTAGGTTTTCTTTCTTAAAGAGACATGGGAAATTTATTTATTTATAATAAATTATGCAGTCTAATCCGGAGAACACGGTCGGGATTTTGACGATGGCGGGCAAAGGAGTGCGTGTAGTGGCTACTCCTACCAGTGATCTCGGCAAAATCTTGTCTTGCATGCACGGTAATTTACCTATTTTCTTTCTCTTTTAAATTAATTTATTTTGAGTCATATTCGGAGATTAAGTTTATTTAGGCTAGGATTTCATAAGTTTAATATGGGTTCTTGAACTATATGTGTCAATAGACATACTATGGTGAATGAAATCCGTGTGTTTGTGTTTTGATTTACTGTTATATAGGAAGATAAAGGTTATTCAAGTTGGATGTTGATGCAGTTTATTTTTACTGTGTTGTTAGCAAAATAAACTAAAATTTCAGTGTACAGTTTTATGTGTAGTCTTGGTCGATGTAAAGCTTGACATCTAGTTGGGTGACAGTTTGTTGGAAATGAAACAGGAAAAACATTAGATATGTTGAACAAAAAACCAGCATTAATTGTTTTGTGGCTTTCTAATTGGATCATATACGTACATAAGCGTAGCAATTTGAAATTATGATCTATTTAAGCATGCAGTTCAGCATGAGATACATGCATGCTGACCTCTATAAATGTAGAGCATCTTTTTCACTTACCCTAGAAATGGAGAACTTGTCTTTGCTGATGGAGCTCAGCAGTTTCATTAAGTATAGGTTGTGATTGCAAAAGCAGCATATGAGTAATGATTAATCTCTAATTTTATATTAACTATTTCTGAATTGAAGGTCAGCTTCCGTCCTGCTCTATTATTCTTTCCCCATCATCATTACCTTGTTCTTCATCTTTATGTTTTTTTTAATGTTTGACACAGGTCTTGAAATGGGGGGAGAGATGAACCTAGCAGCTGGAATTCAGATTGCTCAGCTGGCTCTAAAGCATCGCCAAAACAAAAATCAGCAGCAAAGGATTATAGTTTTTGCTGGAAGGTATAACATGTTGGCCTTTCAATTTGCTTGTTCACTTTAATTCAGATATATAACTTTTTCCCCTTATGCTTTATGCTGTTAGTCCTGTTAAGTATGAAAAAAAGTCATTGGAGATGATAGGAAAGAAGCTGAAAAAGAATAGCGTAGCTCTTGACATAGTCAATTTTGGTGAGGATGAAGATGGAAAGCCAGAAAAGTTGGAAGCTCTTCTTGCAGCTGTTAATAATAATGACAGTAGTCACATTGTTCATGTTCCTCCTGGTCAAAATGCACTTTCTGATGTGCTTATCAGGTTTTATTTATGTCCTCCTTTGAATTCTTTGTTTTCCTTAAAGTATTCGGTTTCTTGAGAAAAAATGTACATTTGAGTAAGATGCTGTTGTCTCATGTCTTTTAGACCATATTGCTTACTTACTAGTGATTGTGCAAATGGTATAATTTTTTGATTCCTATGCCAGTACACCTGTGTTCACTGGGGATGGGGAAGGAGGAAGTGGCTTTGCTGCAGCAGCAGCAGCAGCTGCTGTAGCTGGTGGTGTTTCTGACTTTGATTTTGGTGTGGATCCAAACATCGATCCAGAGCTGGCTCTTGCTTTAAGGGTTTCCATGGAAGAGGAGAGAGCAAGGCAAGAAGCTGCTGCCAAGAGGGCTGCTGAGGAAGCCACTAGACAAGAAAAAGGAGAGGAAGCACAACCACAGTCTGATTCACAGAATGCAACTACGGCTGCAACTGAAAAAGTTACTGATCCAATGGTCGGTATTACTTTGAAGTCAATATATTAACCATTCCAGAAATCAACATCTGATAACATTTGATGGTACAATTTAAGTTTCAAATTGGCTTTTGCTAACTAATGTTGTGGCAGGATGAGGATGATGCTTTGCTGAAGCAGGCCCTTGCATTGTCAATGAATATCCCAGGATCTGATTCTTCTGCGGGTGATGCTGAGATGTCTGAGGCAACTAATGATGATAAGGAATTGGCCTTGGGTATGTTGTGTTGTTTTGTTTCTTATTTTAATATATCAGGGTGTATGCTGTATCAAGCTACTTGACTGCCTTTTCTTTTCTTAGGAGAAAATATTATACTAATTCCTTTGCTTCTGGAGAATTGCAAAATGCTTCCATAGATTCTGATTAGCATAGATGGTCCAAATGAGTGCAACATCCATATTGGTGTCCAGCTAGTCCACAATATATATATCTTTTGCTAAATACTACTAATCTAATCTCCCCAAAGGACTAAATCATACTAGGTTTACTTCATATGCTAAGCACAATCTTTTAGCTTTATTGTAAGGGTAATAATGATGTATGCCTCTCAGTTTGCAGCTATCTTAATGTATATACAGTTTAGTGTGTCAGGATTTTGCTTTATATTGGTGTGCATTGGATATTTTACTGGTTTAAGATTCTTGACTCCAAAGTCCAACATGTAGATATATAAATGTAGCCAAATGCATGCATCAATATCATCCACGTCTAATCTAAATGCAGAATGGTCTCGTTTCTTGCATGCAGCACTTCAGATGTCCATGCAAGAAAGTTCAAAAGATTCATCAGCGCAGTCAGATGTCAGCAAGGTGTTGGGAGATCAGTCTTTTATGTCATCCATCCTTTCATCAGTAAGTCTAGTAGAATCTTGCCTTTTCTAAACCCATATGTAACCAGTTTCTGCTTATGTTGCCTGCATTCTGATGTGTTATGGCTTTTACAGCTTCCAGGAGTTGACCCAAATGATCCAAATGTGAAAGATTTGCTAGCATCTTTGCCAGGCCAATCTGAGGTGTGTTCATTAAACTTATCATAACCTAGTATGAACTACAAACTCAAGTTTCTGTTCATGGTGGCATGGCTCCTACCACACGTCCATTAAATGTTGACCAATTAGACATTTTAGGCTGCTACACAAGTAGGGACTGATCTGTTTCTGTAATTTTTACTTGCTCCTAGCCACAAGAAAAGAAGAATGAAGATGAACCGCCAAAAGATGACAAGTGAAGATCCATTGAACTGGTGCTGAAGGCAAAGGCTTAACATTGCGGAATCCTATTCTACCTTCCTATAGTGGTTGAGGTGTCTGCCCATTTCTAACCGAGTAAAGCATTTCTGTTTCTCTTGACACAGATGAGACACTAGAGGAGCTTGTCAAAACTGTGCTGTGGACTCGGTTGAACATTTTCTATTTTTCTGTTCTAAAGCGCTCGAAGATCTATCATATTTATATGTTAGAATGGGATTAAAGTGTCAACATTCAGTTCTCAATTTTTATTTGATTCAAAGGGAAAAGCAGGATTTGTTGGTGTTTGATGACAAAGATTAATTCCAATTTGCCCCCTCACCTGCCTTTAGCTAAATTTATTCATATCTGTGGGGAGCGAACTACCAAATCAGAACCCCGGATGATATTACCACCTGCCCTGATCTATTACATATGTGGCTTTTTAGAAAAAAAAAACCAAAAATTAGTCCAAGTGGCAAGCCCAACAAGATTGTTCTTGAGGCAAAAATAAGGAAAGCCCAACAGTCTGTTCTGAACATCACTTCGTAGCTCCAGGCGAAAGTTGTGAAGTTTGAAGCCTGTTGGCCCAGGTGCCAGGTGCGGATGAGACAAGGAGAAGGTGCTCCATGGGATAAATGCAAGAAGAGCCGACACCTATCAGAAATTGCTTCGTAGTAATTACTTTAGAATCGTTTTAGAACACATAAGAGCAATCTTTCTGGTCCACAGTTTAGTTAAAAAAATGTTAATTTAGCTCAGGTCCAAACTCTCCAAAGATTGGTGCCTATTGCTAGCTGCTTAGTCATCTGTGACTATCCTTTGAGGTAGTCCAGTCCACCAGGGCTGGGCCAGCATTTTCTTTTCAAGAGTGACTACAAATCACTCAGCCAGACAAGCACTTCCCTGACTCGTTTGAGGTATATTAGGCTGCACCATCAAAACCGAGTACTTCCATTAAGAAGAAGCTGGTCACATAACCAGCGAGATTCGTGGGGTCGAACCCTCCCAAAAACAAGCCACTCCACAAACCATCCCATGCACGTTTAATCAGACGTTGATTCGCGTTATTAAAAAAGAAAAGAAAGGTGGTCGGACGCCTCTGGTGGGCCTA